TGAAAGAAAATGGATATATAAAATATAATTCACATGCATATAAATAAGGAAATGTATACTCACAATATTACTCCCCCTTTGACAACATCAAAAAGATGACAAAAGGAATGAAGAGAGCGAAAGCTCCCCCTACATATGAGCATGGGTGAGTATAAAACAAATATAGGGATTGCTCCCCCTATCAAAATGCCATATAGAAAATATGCAATAAATAAAGATCATGGCAAACATGTGAGCAAGCATAAATGAAAAGATATGCTAAACACCACTCACATACAAACAAGATACAATGAGGACACATAATGATATGACATTATAAAGATAGTGTCTCATTATAAAAACCATGTATAAGAATAGATTTATGAAATCAAAAGAAGAGGAACATAAGAAGCATGCAAAAAGTTTTTAAATGAAAACGAATCAACCAAAAGAAATCATAAATCAAAGTTTAAGTCAAAAAACGTAAAATCAAATCATCATTGATTTAGAAATCAAGAGAGACAACTATATCTAGCTCTTGAGCTAGTATCAACCCATATAAACATTTTAGCACCCGGTAAACAAGATTTGGGAATAAACACCCAATAAATCCGGATGGTTATATAAGTACAAACCTCTCATCAAAATAAAACCAATAATCATGAAAACAAAATAGTTTGACCAATAAAATGAATTGTTTTAAATTCTTGGTTTAAAATCATTTTGGCACCCAAGAATTCTTGGTGCCGGATTGGTTAGGGACATGACCCCTATCATTCAAGCTCAAAGCCCTAGGGTTATGAACCCTCTTGGGCACATATGATGCACGAACACGGTCAAAACAAAAATTGTGTAAATGACCTTTCTGATTGCAATTAGTGCAATGAAAGAGGCCCATTTGATTTTGTTGACCATAAACATGTGCACGGGAATCATTTGCAAATAAGGATGGTCTTTTAAATTCATTTTGCAAATGAGAAACATTCTTAAACAATGGTCTATTTGGAATGTGAAACTCTCTTTAAATCAAAACAAAATTTGGCCAAATGACCAAATCTACCACAATGATCACATCTATACACATGAGCATGCTTATGATGAGCAATGGGTGCATGTGTGTGTACATGTGATGAAGAAACTACATGAGATGCACAATGAGCATTAGTCTTTGTTGGTTTATGTGCATCATAGCAAAATTTAGCTAAATGGCCTTTTCGGCCGCAAATAGAGCATTTGTAAACTTTGCTATACAAGTGTGCATAGTGTATGGGTGATTTTGTAGCACTAGATTTAGCACACTTGTCCATAAGTTTCTTATGGTTATCAATGCATATTTTCAAAGTTGAATCTAAAGATGAAATGCAATTTTTCATAAGATTCAAGTCTTCATTTTTAGGCACATATGCACTTTTAGAAGTAGAACATAAGTAGTCATTTATAAAAGAAGCAGTGTTATTTTGTATGTTCTTTACTTCTAACATGGCATTATCTCTTTCATGAGTTAAACTAGCAACGTTTGAAGTTAAAGAAACATGATCCAATTTTAATTTTTCATTGTTTTCTTTAAGGATCACATTTTCATTAGAAATAGTTTCAAACTTAGATGCTAACAACTCATGATCGGATTTCAAAATTTCATGCTTGCTTTGTAAATTAATGAAATCATTTTGCAATTTGTTAAAGGCATGTAATAATTTTTCACTAGCACAAGCAAGTTCATCATTAGGTAAATCATTTATGGTTTCGAACTCGCAAACCTCACTAGGGCTATCGCCTAGTGGCCGTGTGCATGATGCTCCACATGAACTTGAAGCGGGATCCTCCAAAGCTTGTCGGATCGCCTCCAAGTCTCCTTGATGTGCTTCTATAAATATCCATAAGGTGTAAGCACTATCAAAATGAACAAACTTGTTAGACATAGATGAGTTAAAAGCATTTAACAAATATTCTAACAAAATGTTGTTCATAGTAAACATGCGATGATCATTTTTATTCCACTTGGATTTCTCCAAAATGGGCACAATATAAGCATCATCTATAATTTCCCATAAATCAAAATGTTTAGATCTAACAAATAGTTTAAATCTAACACACCATTGGGCATAGGGGAAATTGTCTAATCTAGGAGCAACACTAGAATCATAGCCTAAACAAGATGCATCATTCATATTCATAATTTGTAAAAATATGCAAGCAAGATGCAAATGCAATCAAAACAAGATTAGCACAAAAAGATAACTTGGATCTTTAACTCAAGGCGATTAGACCTTAAATCAAAGAGCACCAAGCTCTGATACCAATTGTTAGACCCTAGAGGGGGGGTGATTAGGGTCTTATGCTAATCTAATCCGATTAAATGCCAATTAAAAATAATTAACAACTATATTCTTGCAAGATAGGTATACAATCTATTATGGGCAAGAATATGCAATATACACAAAGTGATATATCCTATATGATGAAATATATTATGAGTTATATGCAAGGATATGAAACTAAGGGTGATATAAACATAAATAAGATAAACAAGATAGTGGATAATATGAACTAAGAGCAAATGACAAAGGCGATATAAACAATAGGCATGAATGTAAAAGAACGCCAATGACAAACTCAAACACACGATATGATCACGGAGTTCGGACCTTCCGTCCTACGTCTCCGCTCCCCACTCCCGGGGAGAAATCCACTAACACAATCCGAGAGAACTCAATTAAGCACAACTCAATGTTACAATCTCTCACAACCCTAATATACTATGTATGCAAATACAATAAGCTCAAGTGGGTGTGTGTAACAATGAGATAATATAATCAAATCTAAAATCAATATAAAAACTAGCTTTAAAGAATGATAATCAAATAACTAAGCAAATGTAAAGCTAGATAGAGTTTAGAAAACTTCTCCAATAGATGACAAGATGGAGAGATGGAGATTGGAGCCCAAACAAGAAGATGATCTCCTCCACTTGTGAAAACAATCTTCAATTAAAACTCTTTAAATTTGTTTAAAACATTTCTTAAGTTCTCTTAGAAGTATGAGGGCATGGGGTATATATAGGCTCATGAAACAAGTCCAAAAACCAAGAAAAACACCCCCAAAATATTAAAATAAACAAAAAAACAGAACTAGCTGTTACTGTAGCAATGGGCGGCTGCTACAGTAACTTTGGTCGACTGGTACGGTCGACCGAGAGCCATGTGCAAAGCTGAGAAACGTCCAGAGACATTTCCGGTCGACCGGTCCGGTCGACCGGAGTTACTGTAGCAGTGCGCAGCTATTTTGTAAAATCAATTTAAAATAGTAAATAAACTCCAAAAATTATAAAATTTTGTGAGAATGTTCTAGACATGTAGAATAACATGTCAGAGAAATAATATCTGAAAAATATTTTCTCAGTTGAGAGAAATAAATATTTGAACACAAATTTA